TGTTTATACAGGTATTCAAATAATTTACTATCTTACAAGAATCCAAGCTATGTAAGTTATATTCACCCAGGTCGTATGGGTGGCAAATTATGAGAAGAGCGTCACTCTTAAGTAATGATAAATAAACACGCAGGCAGGCCTTCAGCGCCAACTGTCAAATCTTATCTCAAATAAATAAAGACACTCTGTCACCTCACCTCACGCTCAGCTGGCTACCTCCCTCCCTGTGTTCCCAGACAAAAGATTGGTGATTTCTTTATGTTTATTTTATATCAAATCTCAGACTAAAGTTAGGATAATATAATTTGCATTGCTGAAATCCTCGCAAGACAGAGATTAATTTAAATATAAGCGTCATAAATTTTGCTCTAGATATAAAAAATGTAGTACATTAGTGTACAATACTGTAGTACATTTTATAAAAAAGTTTTTCAACTGTATTTTTGGGTAGATTTACATAAATTTCTTCATTTATTTTCATCCATTTACATGCACACACCATACTAAAAGAAACGTAAGATAAATAAATGACCTTAGTGCAAAGCTGGAGTGTACATGTACTAATTTGATTACAGTACTAAAATTGTTATATCTAGTGTGAATTACATGTTTATATTCAAATAAATCAGTATCTTACAAGAATCTCAGCTATGTTAAATATATTCTCCTAGGTCACATCACTGGCATTTTAAAATGAGAGAAGCTTAGTAGGACTGTTAAATAAACACACAGAGACCTTCGGCTCAAACTTTGAAACATATCACCCCAACCCCCCACCCCCCTCGCTGGCTGGCTGGCTCTGTCCGTCCCTCCGTCCCTCCCTCCCTCGCCCCAGCCAGGGTTTTAGGCTTACAGTTTTTATCTTATATAATATCTCAGACTAAAGTTAGATTATAATTTGCATTGCTGGAATCCTTGCAAGACAGCCAATAATTTGAATATAAACGTCATATATTTTGCTCAAGAGATAAAAAATTTTGTACATTAGTGTACAGTACTGTAGTACATTTTAGAAAAAAAGTTTTTCAACTGTATTTTTGGGTAGATTTACATAGATTTCTTCATTTATTTTCATCCATTTACATGCACACACCATACTAAAAGAAACGTAATAGAAATAAATGACCTTAGTGCAAAGCTGGAGTGCACATGTACTAATTTGATTACGGTACTAAAATTGTTTTGTCTAGTGCAAATTATAGCATGTTTATATTCAAATTAATCAGTATGTTACAAGAATCCCAGCAATGTTAATTATATTCACCCAGGTCATTTCACTGGCTTTTTATAAGAGAGAAGCTTAGTCACTTAAGAACTGAGAAATATACACGCGTTAGATCTGGGCCTGTGCCAACTGTCAAACGTACTACTTCCCCTCCCCCCACGCCCCCTCGCACCCTCTCTCTCTCCCATCTGCCCGGTGTTGCTGGAATCCTTGTAAAAGTGAATAATTTTAATATAAACGTCATGTATTTTGCACAAGAGATAAAAATTAATCACTTGACAATATCCCAAATTAAGTTATTATTTAGCACATCATGTTATTTTTAAATGAACAACATGGCACTCACAACACATAACACATAACACAAATAACCTGGGATAACTATGTCTGCTAATTATCCCTAATCATGGATACCAACACTGTTCAATACGTATAACCAAGATCAATGAACCAGACAAGACTGAGTACACTGGTCGCGGGGTTGTTTACGACACAAACAGCCAAAGCTCGTTCGCTAGTAGTGCCCAGGGGTAGACTCGGTGCAGTGTCTTAACACGGTGTTCCCTGGGTGTTCCTGTCCTCCTATTCTAATCTCGCCATATTAAAGACATCCTTCAAGGACCATCTTGCCCATAGGCGGCTACCGAACCTCGGTAGTGGTGACAAAACAGACAGTGACTGGAGATGCGTTGAGGAAGAGTCACGAGCGTGTAAATGTCTAACTCAACTACACATAACTATACATCTGGCAACAATACAGATGACACTTAATTTACTTGGATTACTTGGCACATGATTATTTCACTATGTTAAAACATGAACACCGATATTCACAAAATCGACTCGAGTTAAACTGATGGGAAACAATCATTCACATACCTGGAGATGCGTTGAGGAAGAGTCACGAGCGTGTGAGTCTTCCTCGTGCATTCGTTTATATACAGGCCTGGGGCAGTTCCGGCCCATGCATGCATACCAGAAAGGCTAATCTCACCAACGACAGAAATTCTATTCAACTCAGTCGCTGTACATTCAACTATGAAATTCAGTGTCATGGGTCAGGTGAATTTCTTATGTCTATTTTTATAAACTAATCAGAGATTGAGTTTGTCAGGAAAAAGTGAAATGGACGTTAAATACACACACTAACAACTCTACTTACCGGAAACAGCAAACCACAGCCGAGGAATTCTTCCTGGGGAGCCGTTAAGTCTTGGTGATTTTGAGTTTGACAGAATCTTTTCAGGAGATTACTGGCTATCCTAAATAGACAACTGACACTAGCTAAACTACAAACATCAGATTCTCTGATGTTTGGGCATCAAAATTATCCAATTTCAGTAGTACTTAGAAACTCCTGGTTATCCCCAAGGACGATATAAGGACAAGCCACTCATACTGGCAGACTCGACACTCACTTACTAGACTAGTTTTACTAACAATAAAGACAATTGAAGCTTTCAACATCACTCACAGTGGATCTTGAATGTTCCAACTGTAATCAGACATGTCTAAGTTGCCTTAACATATACAGTAGTACCCCAATTTACGCGGTCAATTGAACCCACAGGGTACCGCGGAAAGTGAAATCCGGGTAAAGTGAACAACAGAACATATGGGATTAATTCCAATAGAGACTGGCCCGACCCCCAAACTCCACTTTTCCCGACACAATACTGTACCTATGTTGTAGTAAAAATAACATCTTAATTTTATGATGGTATTCTCACACAATTAATATTTAAGAGAAATACAGTCGCCAGGTTAATGTCCATTCAAATAATGGACTCAAATCCCCCCCCCCTCTTCCCAGCTCACTAGCTCCTACCTCTGAGAAATGTTTGGGTGAAAACACTAGATTTTAACGTTTAGTAATAAATAATACCTCAGACTAAAGTTAGGATAATATAATTGACATTTCTGGATTCCTTGCACGTCAGGGAATATTTTGAATGTAAACTTCATATATTTTGCACAAAAGATAAAATATTTGCTTTGTGTAAACCAAATTATTACATTACTGTAGATCTAAAATTTGTATATCTAATGCAAAATCCATGATGTTTATATTCAAAATGATCATCATGTTGTAAGAATTCCAGCAATGTAAATTATATTCTGGCCTGGTAATTTGTATGAATTTTATGAGCTAAAACAAATATCTTCAGTAAATAAACAAAGAAATATTCTTCAAGGACACTATCTGTCAATCAAAATACCCCACCTCCGCCCTAGCTGGGTTGGTCCCTCCCTCCCTACCCCCCACCCCCCACCTTCCCTCCCTACCAGAGAAACGATTGGGAGAAAATAGTATATTTACATTTTTAGTAATAAATAATAACTCAGACTAAAGTTAGGATAATATAATTGACATTCTGGATTCCTTGCAGGTCAGGGAACATTTTAAATGTAAACTTCATATATTTTGCACAAACGATAAAACATTTGCTTTGTGTAAACCAAATTATTACATTAGATCTAAAATTTGTATGTCTAATGCAAAATCCATGATGTTTATATTCAAAATGATCATCATATTGTAAGAATTCCAGCAATGTAAATTATATTCTGGCTGGGTAATTTGTATGAATTTTATGAGCTAAAAAAAAAAAAAAATTAAACTTCACCGCGTATATGAGTAGATGCACCGCGGAAAGTGAAAGTCCGGTTCTGGCAAGGTACCGCGTAAATGAGAAATCGCGGAAAGTGAAACCGTGTAAAGCGGGGTAATACTGTACAACCACAGTTGCAATTTCATAAGGAAAAATGAAGTCTCAGGTGCACTCTAAGATTGAGGGAAAACGGAGGACTCAGACATTCTGAAGTGATGAGAAAATGGACGCCTCAGTCGGGGGACTCAATAAAGAAGGCATAGCTACATATTTTGTGGGCTATTTAATGTAATATGAATCGTCTGATTTTACGTTAACTAACATGCACGACCGTCATCATTACATCATGACAGTATACAGTAAAGCATTAAGCGATGAAAATCACATATCAGAAGCAAAGTTTAGGAAATATGGTATCTAAATATTAATGCACCTGTAATAATATGAAGTACTGTACTGTATTTGCTGTAATTATGCAGCTTGGGGTGACAACATGGGTCAGGAGTTCATTCATGTTTAATCCTTTGGACACATATATTGTTTATAAGCTGCATTCCCAATGAGTGTCAGGTGTGAATAAAGTATGAAAATGGTAGCTGGTCCATTTTTACTTCTTTTTATGATGACAAAATCATGTTTCCACATATTGTATAAATGTTTTATTTTAATATAGCTGGAGTAAAAAATATGTAGAAACATTAAAATGAAGTACCTGTACAGTTCAGGTATTTATAGTTTCCTCATTTTATGCTATGAAAATTAGCCAACACTATTCAAATGTCAGAAAAAAGCAAAAAAAAAAAAAAAACATTACCCTGTATCCTCATATTAGAAGTAAAATTATTCATTATATAGCTCCAAAATATGAACATGGCCAAAATGTTCAATAATCACAGCTGAAACATCCAACAGGCAGCTACAATCAAAAGCTGAGCTAGCCTCATCAGGCAGTCACAGTCCATGATAATAATTCAACTATTCCACCATGATACAGAAATAAGCTCATTAATTAGTTTGCACTGAAACTAGAGACTGCAATAGTCATGGATGTGATATAGAGTTGGTTTGAATTATGTTTAGCTTGATGCAATTGAATATGTAGAAAGCATTAAGCAGTGTTAATGATTACATCTTAAACATTATGCTAATAATTTTTAATAACTTAGGTAATACTTATCCACCAGGTGCACTTATTAGTGGTGACTGCCAAAGATGGGGCCCCTGATCCACGGCTCTCCACTGCTACAGTGACTGTATTAGTTAGTGATATGGGGGATGAGCCACCGGTATTCTCTCAGCAGGTGTATGAGGCTACTGTACCAGAAAATCTTCCTGATGCTCTGCTCACCACCGTCGTAGCTACTGACCCAGACACCAAACCAGAGGTAAGAAATTATTTCTTCATCATGCAGCAGAATAAATTTTATATCAGTATTGAATGTATTAATTCCTGATCCTTGGATGAATTTACTATTTACAAGTACAGTTGGGTCTTCATTTACGCAGTCAATTGAACCCGTGGAGTACCGCGTAAAACGAGAAACGCGTAAATGAAATAACAGAACATATGGGATTAATTGAAATAGAGACTGGGCCGACCCCCAAACTCCACTGTTTCCGACACAATACGTACCTTGTAGTCAAAATAACATCTTAATTTTATGATGGCATGCACACACAATTAATAATTAAGAGAAATATCAATAATATTAAGTTTTTTAACACTTACATTAGTAGAAAAGATGGCTGGGACACGGGGATGGGGGGTTGGTTCCGAGGCAGAGGGCAGATTATTGGCCCTCACCTGTACCACTTGTATCAATTGTATCACTATCCACCACAGAGGCTTGCAGGGCCTCTTTTTCAAACCCCTCAAAGTCCATATAAGTCCATATGCTCACTATCACTGACTTGGGCCGGCTGTGGTGGGTGACGGGTGAAGAACTCGGGAATGTTTTGATGACTGGGCGACCTTGTGCGCATCCTGCCCTCGCCGCTTCCTGCGTAAATTACCGAATTTGCCGGGTAAATCAAGCATTTCGATTCTGGCAAGGCACCGCGTAAATGACAAAACGCTTAAACCAAAACCGCGTAAGTCCAGACTCAACTGAACTGTACTATGTAGCTTGTATGTGCAGTGTAAATGCTTTTATTTTTTTACTATTAATATCACTTTATGCCTTTAATGGTGAGCCCTCAGGACAAGTGATAAAATTAGACTGGAAATTAACTACAAAAGTTATTTTATGTGTTTTGTAGTTGAAAAAACATAGAGATAATTTATCTACACACTTATGTATCTACAGTATTGTAAGTTAATATTTTACAGTTATAGAAATATACATTTTATGAAGAGAAATTACATATATGGGACCATTTATCAAGCATGCTTGGGACCTGGGAGTTACTAGATAGGGTTTTTCCGGAATTTGGAGCACCAGGCCTATTATGTCCTAAAGTGCAGTAAACCCTCTAGGTGACAGTGAAGCCTCTGTTCAGATCACTAGCTTCACTCCTAAAAGTAGCTTCACTAAAACTTGAAATTATAGGCATATAAACAGCAATAACAAAAGCACATAAAAAGCATTAATGAAAGCATAAAAATAGTAAAGATGATGCAAGTTAGTGTACATACTGCGTCAAGGCAACCAGGGACATTGGCCTCCTTGACGCTCACCTTAGCAAACAGCCCAGCTGGGACACTGCCTTGCTGCCTGCCCTATATGGGAATTATGGTGAAATTGCCTACTATCGTTGTAAAGGGAGCACGGGAGGTGAAATGTCCTTTCCTCCCTCCTCTTCTGCCTCCTACAACCTCCTCCCCTCTCCCGGACTATGCACCCAAACGTAGTTTTGTACAGTACAGTAGGGTCAGGATATACTGTATAGGGACTTTAAGTAACGATTTTTTTATATCACGGCTACCAAAATTATTGACATTTTCTTATGTATAGCGATAATATTTTATATTTTGCGAGGGAAATCGGGCAGGAAATATTTCAAATTTATCATGACTACCAAAATTATCGACATTTTTCAATATATAGCGATAAATTTATTTACAGTAGACTCACAACTTATGTGGGGTTATGTTCCTGGGTCCTCACATAAAGCCAAAAGCAATATAAAGTCAGAAACACTCTTAAAAATCCCCTAAATCACCCCAAAAACACAAGTTGAAAAACTGTTCAGTACTTAAATGTACCTGTACTTTATAAGACTAAAAATGTTATCTCTTGTGCAAAATATATGATCTCTACATTCAAATTATTCGCTGTCTTGCAAGGATCCCAGCAATGTAATTTATATTCTGCTAACTTTAGTCTGTGACATTTTATAAGATAAAAACTTTAAGCTTTAAATCACAATCACCCTTACTTGAAGTTGGAGAGGAGTTGATTTATTATGACAGCTGGGCCGGAGCTCGGTTACCTAATGTTATTTATTTATCTGTCATATGAATTGACTTGAGAGAATATAATTCACATTGCTGGAATTCTTGTAAGATAGTGATTAATTTGAATATAAACCTATATTCATTGTTATGCACACAGATTCAACCTGGTGCTTATCCACTGTATCAACAACCTTCAAGATTATCTGGAGTTCTTTTCAACTATCCACACATTGTATAACTTCATCTCTATTAGTAATACAATGCATGAACTTTATGTTCAATCACAAAAAGAGCTTGGACAGGAGGTATTAGAGCTAGAAAGAACTGTGACAACAAGATGGTTCTATTGGTACAGAAGTATTCGCAGAATTCACCTTCGTTATGAAGCCATTCTTGCCTTACTAACTTCTCTATCTGAGTACTGTACAGTAATGAGGCATCTACGGAAGCCTCTGGACTGAAAAAAAAAATGGGAGTCCTGGAGTTCTGTAGTTTGCCTTTTTATTTTTGAAAAACTGTTCTTGCAAACAAATTCTCTGTCCGAGCAGCTTCAAGAAGGAAGTATATCTATAGTTCGAGCTGTGGATCTCATTACAGCCACAAAAGCAAACCTTGTTAAAATTAGATCTGATAGTGAATATGGCATAGTTGTTCCAGAGGCAAACACTCAACAGCATGAAGGATCAGCTTGTAACAAAAGAGTGCAATGAATAACATATACTTTGAAAGATTATCTGTCAAACAGCACCCTTGGTAAGTGTTCAAAACATCTAGAGAATTTTCAGAGAAGCACTTAAAAGACCAACTGAAGTCAGAGTTGTACTTCTCAGTAATTGACAGGTGCACAACTGAATATGATCGGAAGTTTAGCAATAACATTGATCTTCTGTAGTCCATCTCCTCTTTTGATGTTCAATCTAAACAATTCCTTGATGAAGAAAAGCTTGCTTTGTTTTCTAAACATTACAGAGCACACATTGATTCAGTTATGTTATCCTCACAACTGCATTCTGCGAAGGTATTCTTAGATTAGAAGCCTGAGGACCTATTTGATGTGTACCAGAATCTAAATGCATTACCGATTGCTTTTTCTGAAGTACAGGTGCTCCTCTACTTAAGAACGTTCAACTTACAAAATTTCAGAGATACAAGCATCATCACTGAGGGGCATTACCTGCCAGAACAGGTGTTTAATGTGGATGAGACTGGATTATTTTTTAAGAAAATTCCAGATAGAACAAACATTACCTAAGAGGAGAAGAGTGAGCTAGGTTTTAAGGCTGTATTAAAGGGTATAGCTGTACTAAATATCCATAATCTTTTAATTTTTTACAATATGTTTGGTATCTACAAGAGTAAAGTTGGACTTACAAACAATCATCAGGAACATAACTCGTTCGTAAGTTGAGGAGCATCTGTACTCAGTTTGTTATAGTTCGAATGTTATTGGCCATTCCGGTTACTACTACAGGCAATGTAGGATTTTTTTCAGTGCTAAAACGCATCAAAAATGACCTGAGAACAACAACGGGTGATGACCGCCTTTCCAGCCTACTTTTAATGGCTAATGAACAGAAAATGGTTAAATCATTCAATACAGAAGAACTGGTTGGTAATTTTGCTCGACTGAAGCATCGCCGTTACCCTCTGATATAAGAACAGTCAATAGCCACTAGCTGTCTAGTAGACTGAGTATGTCATCCTATTCTGAATATCCTGATTTGTTCTCTGATGATTTTTTTTTCTATTTAGTTTTGTCAATATATTAGCTGAAACAATTATTTGGTCAATAATTCAAGAGTTGTACTCTAGATCTCTAGATGTTGGGAAAGAAAAGTTCACTTTGCTGGTATCGTTATTGTTTTCTTAATAAAATTCAAAGACTATATTGGCAACAGGGTCTACCATTAGACAATACATTATGCTTCCAATATCTTCCCAGGTGGTAGTACCTCCCTGTTTGATAGCTGCCTACTACCTACTACCTGGTGGCCAAGTTGGAATATTTAGCTCCCATTGGCATTATGTGATATACACCTGTAGGATCTGTTGTGTGTGCATGTCTATGGGATCACCAATACATAATATATTAAACAATTTATTCATCAATGTTTCAGATAACATACATAATGGTGAATGGGGATTCACAGCTGTTTAGTGTGGAGCCTGAGACAGGTCAGGTTAGCACCTACCGTGGACTGGACTATGAGGCCTCTCCCAGACACACCATCATTATTGGCACCTTAGAAAATTCTCAGGGTGGCTCACAGGTGAGAAAGTCTCTTTGTTGTGGAAAGTGTATTTTCATATTGAATTGGATGTTCGATTTACAGGTATCCCTTGATATATGAATGGGTTAGGTTTCAAAATATCATTTGTTTTGTGGTATTTGTATCTCAATAGAAGAAAGATCACATATCGAAGTCATTGAGAGACTCGGTGATGATCGAAAGAAGCCGAGAAGAGTCAACTCAAAATCACCCTTCTCCCCCATCAGTTATATTCATATTTTTTCAAGGTAAAGTATTACATTTACTGTATGATTTCATTATTAGATATGAATGTAACATTTATTTAGACTGTGCTATCCTTTGTGTTAGGCTAACTACTAAATTTTTTCGATTTCGAGTAATCTGCACCTAACCCTATTTTCTCCATAAGCCCTGTTATTTCTATTACGCGATTTTCTATAACACGATATTTTACAAGAACACAATTATCGCGTTATAGCAGAACTACCTGTATCCCTTGATATACTAATAGGTAAGGTTAAAAAAAATGTAAGGTAAATTTTCATATCTCAAATAGAGGAACATATAGGAAAAACAGGGTTCAGTTCCCCAATGACAAAAATACCCCCAATATCATACCCCCAAAACATGAATAAAACCAACCTATTAATGATAAATAGTACACTACTAATCTAATTTACTACCTAACACACAAAAAGAGTAATAAAATACTGTTTAACTCTGGTACATTACCTTTTGAGAGGCATAACACACACGACCCACGCGGGATGTGTGGAAGGTTCTGCCCATCCCTGGTGACTGTCAATCCGAAGCAGTTGAGCTGTGTTACAATGCCCATAGGATGGTTCTCTTGTGGAAGAAGCTATTATTGTATTTGTAAAACATCGTGTTATAGAAAATCGCGTAATAGAAATAACAGGGCTTATGGAGAAAATAGGGTTAGGTGCAGATTACTCGAAATCAAAAAAATTTAGTAGTTAGCCTAACACAAAGGATAGCACAGTCTAAATAAATGTTACATTCATATCTAATAATGAAATCATACAGTAAATGTAACACTTTACTTGATGGGGGAGAAGGGTGATTTTGAGGTTGGTAAAATCGAGCTTCTCTTCAAGTGTTATATCCTTTGTTTTACGATCACCACCGGGAATTCTATCACCAGAACGCTTCTTGTTGATATTCTTCTTTACTATATTCACAGTTAATACCACAAAATTGGAGAAATAGTAAGCAAAAATCGCGTTAGAGCAAACAAGCGTTCGCGATATACAAATATCGTTCAAAATTCATAAATCGCGTTAGAGCAAATTCGCGTTATCAAAACACGCGTTATAGCAGAACTCACTGTACCAGTAACTACAATATGGGGAATAAATAAAAATATAAATAAAAAAAAATACTGTTATCATTTGGCAATCTTGCCACTATGCACGATACAGCCGTGCCCCCTGAGAGAACCCTGCTGCCCCCCTCACTCTCTTTTATGTGTTTTACCTAATGATAATTATGATTTTTTTTTTTTTTTGCACATTCTATGTGAATAATAGTGTGTGCATGTAATGGAGCAAAAAAAAAACAAAGAAGAAGAAAATTATGTACATCAACCCTAAATACAAGTTAAAAATAACAATTACGCAGCTCACAGCTGGAGGCTGAGATACCAACACTGCATCCCCCTCCCATAGCATTACCCATCCCAAGATTTCTGGGGTCATAAGAAATTTTTATTCCCTATATGTTTTTGACCTTATGCTAATTACAGGTACAATAAACCCTTGTTATTCATGGGGTTTAGGTTCCAAGGAATGGCACAAATAGGCAATACTGTGAATAGCAACTTATACTACCTTAGTGCACTACTGTATATCTATACCACACAACCGACCAACCGTGGCAGCACTCATCTCCTCTTTTAACTTATCTAATACAGTTGTACCCCACTTAACGCAGTCAATAGAACCCAGAGGGTCCCGTGTTAAGTGAAATCCGCGTTAAGTGAACAACAGAACATATGGGATTAATTCCAATAGAAACCGGCCCGACCCCCAAACTCCACTTTTTGAAGACACATAACTATGTTGTAGTGAAAATAACATCTTAATTTTATGATGGTACATGCACAATTAATACTTAAGAGAAATAGAGAAATACAGTCGCCAAGTTAATGTCCATTCAAATAATGACTCAACTCCCTCCCCCTCATTAATTAAACTGCCAGCCTTCCTCTGAGAAATTTTTGGGGAAAACTAATAAATTTTAATACAACAATACCTCAAACTAAAGTTAGATATTAATTGACATTGCTGATTCCTTGTAAGACTAGGGAATATTTGAATATAAATGTCATATATTTTGCACAAAAGATAACATAGTTACCCAGAGAAAATTTTTTATCTAAAATTTGTATGTCTAATGCAAAATATATGATGTTTATATTCAAAATGATCACCAAATTATAAGAATTCCAGCAATGTAAATTATATTCTGACCGGGTAATTTGTATGAATTTTCTGAGCTAAAACAAATATCTTCAGTTAATAAAAAAAATAATAATCTTCACGACACTATCTGTCAATCAAAGTACCCCACCTTGCCTCCCCCCTCTTCCAACCGCGCAGTCAGTCCCAACCCTCCCCCCCACCCCCCACCAATCCTCCCTTCAAGAGATGTGGGGTGAAAAAAATAAATTTTAACATTTTGTATTAAATAATACCTCAGATTAAAGTTAGGATAATATAATTGACATTGCTGGATTCCTTGTAAGACCAGGAATATTTTGAATATAAATGTCATATATTTTGCACAAAAGATAACATATTTACTCAGAAAACATTTTATCTAAAATTTGTATGTCTAATGAAAAATATATGATGTTTATATTCAAAATGATCATCAAATTATAAGAATTCCAGCAATGTAAATTATATTCTGACCGGGTAATTTGTATGAATTTTATGAGCTAAAACAAATATCTTCAGTTAATAAAAAAAAAAAAATATTCTTCACAGGGTAACAGATGGTCGGTCGGTCCCTCCCTCCCCCCACCCCCCACCAACCGTCCCAAGGAGATGTGTGGGAAAACCAGAATACTTAACTTTTTTGTAATAAATAATACCTCAAACTAAAGTTAGGATAATATAATTGACATTGCTGGATTCCTTGTAAGACCAGGAATATTTTGAATATAAATGTCATATATTTTGCACAAAAGATAACATAGTTACTCAGAGAAAAAATTTTATCTAAAATTTGTATGTCTAATGCAAAATATATGATGTTTATATTCAAAATTATCACCAAATTATAAGAATTCCAGCAATGTAAATTATATTCTGGCCTGGTAATTTGTATGAATTTTATGAGCTAAAACAGGCAGTCAGGCAGGGTGTCGGGTGGGGCAAATCTAAAAATAGCGTCTCGAGCCGGACACTCACCGCGTATATGTGGAAAAAATCCGTGTTAAGTGAAAGTTCAGCTCTGGCGAGGCACCGCGTATATGATAAAACGCGTTAAGTGAAACCGCGTTAGGCGGGGTAATACTGTAATTCAACTTTCTTTGTCAGGGTCATCACTAACTTCTGCCTTTTACATTTCACTCCACTAGCATCACTAGCACTGACACTAGGCAGTCTCTTAGGGTCCATTTCATACAGAAACGATAAAGTTTTGAGAGTACAAAACGAAATACTGCATCACAGGCAATGGTTGAGCGAGAACGGAGGGAAAGGTGATGCTGTGGGTGTGTGGGGTGACTCGTTGTGCTGAGGGAAAAGTTTCACGAGCTAGCCACCATCACCTTACTGCAAATGGCAAGGGTCTACTGTATTT